GAAGCCCTAACGGAGAGTGACAAATCGTCACCGTGCGATCTTTATGATATTCTTGGATGCTCCTCCTGTAGAGGGACATGCCCGACTTAAACCTTAGCCGACGGAAACAGTCTGTCTTCACTCTTTCCGCACTTTTGTCAGGCCAATATATGATTTCAATTTGATATTCGTGTCCAGAACGGGCTTCCTGGGAGGAGGGGGGGGGGACACGGCAGGAGGCACAATTAACGTAACGACCCACCCCCCAATGGTGCTGAACGCACTGCGGCCGTGCCGGGGACGCACTGACGGGGGGAGCGTTACGTTATGGGGGGGGGTAGGGGGCAAAACGCGAGTTATGGTGGGAATCGCATCCGTCTTGACTTGTTCCAAACTTTTGTCACGTCCATGTATGTTCCTCTCCCATGACTTCGCCTCCGCCGTACTTCGCTTCACTATCCAACCCAGCAGCGTTTTGGAAATTCACCCCCAACGACGAGAAGACGTACAGCAGTAATGTCCGCCTCAGAAACCCAAGCATCCGACGTCTGGATACTTTTGAGACGCGTGCCCCCGACCTCCCCGGGACAGGCTTTTCATCCTGGCGAATCATTTTTCAACGGTCCCGAGGCCTGGCGAGGGCCCCGAGAAGCCGAAAACGATGCGAAACCTCCGTCGCGATTTTGTTGAGACGCCCGATGTCTGGGAGAGCTGGGCGGATATTTCCGCAATGGTGTGGCGGAAGCAGCGACGGCGAAGTAGGGCGGGAACTCCACGTCAAAGACGTCTCCTCTTCTGTAAGATGTCTCCTCTCCTGCAGCACTAGCCGAAGGCATGACTTTTTCTAAGACCTAAGACGAAACCAGGACGAGGATCAAATCGGTTCAGGATAAATCGAGCATATCTGATATCCGGCGGCTCAGGAGGATGTGTCGGGCGCCGCGGCTATCCCAGGGTGTTCTGGAACGCTCTGAGATTTGGTCGACCCAATATAGGGGGTCCAGCTGAAAGGGGGTGGTGCAATAGGTCTGGAGCAATTGCATTGCAAATGGATTGCGCCAGAGAACTGTATTGCCTTGCAATGCAACTAACGCACTGCACGCGAAAACTCAGCAATACACTTGCGCACCGGAATGCGTAGCACGCCCCAAAGATTTTGCAGCATCACGAATCTATTGCCCCAGATATATTGCACCACCCTCTTTTCGCTGGACCCCATTTGGGGTCAACCAGGTGAGAGCGTGCCCGAACGCTCTGAAACGGATTCATCCTCGTCCTTGCCCCGCCAGACAGCACAAGCCGAACTCTTGATTTTGCTCGAGGGGGAGGAGGAGGAGGAGGAGGAGGAGGAGGAGGAGGAGGAGGAGGAGGAGGAGGAGGAGGGAGGAGGAGGAGGAGGAGGAGGAGGAGGAGGAGAGGAGGAGGAGGAGGAGGAGGAGGAGGAGGAGGAGGGAGGAGGAGGAGGAGGAGGAGGAGGAGGGAGGAGGAGGAGGAGGAGGACGAGGAGGAGGAGGAGGAGGAGGAGGAGGAGGAGGAGATGGCCCCCCCCAACACTCTGGACCACTTCCCGGGGAGGCGTTTCTCGCCCCACCCTGCCTCCTGGCGGCCCCTGGGCCCGGCAAGGGCCCCC